TCTCTGACATTAAGTGTATTTGTTCTTAAAGTCTGAATCTTAATTATTCAGATGTTAATCATTAAGTGTGTTGGTTTTTTTTACTTCACAACCATTTAAGGGGTCTGAATAGGTGTGTATGATTAAGATCTATAACAGAGACTTAATTTCATCAAGATGTTATCACATATTCATTATTAATTGCCGCCACCGCTTACCATTATCAACTACCACCATGCCACCACCACCATACTCAACCACCACCACCACCACCACGCCACCATCATCCTCAATCATAACCGCCACCATTATCGACCATCACCACCTACTATCCCCTCCACTCCGACCACCATCATTCTCACCCACAATCAACACTCATCCACCTCATCTACCACAACCGACCACACCATCACCATCAACAACCACGGTCGGCACTGCCCATCATTATAACCTACCACCACCCACCCACCCACCCTCCTCAGTCACAACTACTACCACCACCCGCCATTATTAACTATAATCACCCACCACCATCATCCTCAATCATAATCGCCACCACTACGAATCACTACTAGCTACTAGCATGAACCACCATCATCAACCAAAACTACCACCAACCACCGCCTCTAGTCGGCATTCACCCGTTAGCCATCACCACCAACAACTATCATATTTTAAAAAACTATATATTTTATTGATAGAATATTAGATTAGTTAGTATTTCATTTTGAATTTTATGTTTATTAATTTTCAAACAAAGATAAATTTTATACATTCAGATGTTAAAAATCAAACAATCTTAATTATTTCTATTCTAATCTTAATACACATCTTAATATATTCAGATGCGTATTCAGATTCAGATGTCTTAATCTTAATACACATCTTGATATTCAGACGTGTACTTAGATTCATGCGTCTTAATCTTAAAAAAAATCAAATGAGGCCTAACTCTACTTGGCTTTTCTTTTAAGGAATTTTTACATTCCTATCCCACCTAGGAAACCTTTTTACCCTACATGTTTAAGGTTTGAGTAGATTACATTTAGTATACCAAATTTTTCTATACCATATCTAATTAAGTTTATAATTAATGAGATATTTTCAACTCCTTAATTAAAGCATTTCCGTTTTTTTCCAATACTAATCCCTCACTTTCTCTCTCCTAACCCCTCGTCCCCTTACCCCCACGTTCCATTGTTGCTTCCGTTCTTCATGTAAATTCAACATGAGAAAATGTGGGAACGTATTTGTTTCTACGTCAATGGACTTGATTAATTAATTAAAAATGCAAATCTTGATCTCCAGAGCAAGGGTAATTGATAACTACATATTCCTGAGGTTGTATTTTCTTTTGTGAAATTCTTTCTAAGTTCTCAAGTTTGAATTTCTAATGGGAAAAAATAATATCAGTATTTTAAGTGGTTGGATGAGCGGCTATCTTTTTTCTAACAGTTGATCTCCAAGTTAGATTTTGAGACAAACTCCTTGCTTTTCCAAATATAATTGTAGTTATTTTGTAGATGTTTTTGTAGTTATATTGTCGTTAGCCTTTAAATTTTGTAGTCATCCATTTTAGGATGTTAGACATTGTAGTTAAATTGTACTATAACTGTTGCAATTTGTAGAATATTTGTAGATAATTTATTTAAAGACAACATTTTGAAATCAACAATTTCTAATCATAGATTGTAGTTTATTTTGTCGTATAAATGTAGTAACTTTGTAGATAATTTTGAAAACACAAACAATGCATCTACAATCAGAATACAAATAATCTACAATTTATCTACAAAATATCTACAAACTGGATTCCATGAATTTTAATATCCCAATTCCCATTTCAATTGTAGCATAATTGACATTTTCGACATAATTGCGTTTTTTGCAGAAGATTTGTAGAAGTTTTAGTCGTTTTTTATTTGTGAAAACAGAAAATAAAGCACCTACAATTAGAATACACATAATCTACAATTTATCTACAAAATATCTACAAATTGGGTACATTAAATTTTTAGATCCCAATTCCCATCCAATTGTAGCATAATTGTGATTTTTGACATAATTGCGTTTTTTCAAAAGATTTGTAGAAGTTTTAGCCGTTTTTTATTTGTGAAAATAGAAAAAAAGCATCTACAATCAGAATGCAAATAATCTACAATTTATCTACAATTTATGCAATATGTCTTCTTCTTCTTCTTCTTCTTCTTCTTCTTCTTCTTCTTCGAGTTTCAATCTGAAATTCAGTCAAAACCAAGTCTAATATTCACCAAAACTCCTCAAAATTGAGATATAAACTCCAAACCATATTCTCGATTATTTTCAACAACACCCAATCCAAACAAATAGTGATTTTTGAAAACCCAAATTTGAATTCAAAGCTTTCAAGCTTTTCAATGACTATCAATGGTGAAAAATATCTGGAAGAATATTTACTTCCATAATGGCTTCCTAATTTTTCGCAGGTGATTAAGGCAGAATTTTAATGTAGACTCAATCAATCGCAAGATTTTTTCCTGATTTTTAGCGCGTTAATTATGGAAGATTCTGCCCAATTAATCGTGTATTAAACAAATGGTACAAAAATTGTAGGAAAAGTGTGGACTAGGCGGGTAATTTAGATACTATGCACATTTTTTATAATAAAGTTTCATATATGGTATAGATAGGAAAAAACCTCATCTTTTAATCAGCCAAACTGGACGACTTTTTACAAACTAAAGCAAACAATTAGAGGTTCTATTTTGAACATTTTCCTAACAATACGGGAGATAAAGGAAGGTGGATAGCAAGAAAAACTCGCACATATTTCTAGAGGAAGTTTTATCAATACTACTAGATTAGGCGTAATGGCTTCCTGGCCACTTAAACTTGTAAGGTTTTTGAAAACCGATACACAAACTTTGGACTTTCCCATTTGAATACTCAAACTCGTGAAACCCTTAACTAATAAACACATTTGACCCTTGACCCTACGCGCGTGTATTACACATTCACAGACGTGTCCATCCATTCAGCAAACGACCAATGGGATTGTTACACGTCAAGAGCGCGAAAACAAACCCCATAGCTGTGCTGGAATAAATTTATTAATTTCTAATTTTTCTTCTATTTCCCTTATTTTCTTCTTCACCATAGTTGTGCAACTTTTACCTAACTCAAGGTACCAAAATGACCCAGCAAACCAAATTAACTACGAAGAGGGCCACAAATCGAACACAGAGGAACAACAATGGATACTTAGAATCGTTCAAGTGAATTAGAGAAAACGAGTAAAAACATGGATAATATATGATCAACAGAAATCTGAAAATTGTACCACGAACCGGAAAAAAAAATAACTCGCCGGCGATCTCGAACGATCCTCAACACTCAAACCGAACAACCACAAAAATATCTTTGTCCCTTTGTTTTTTCACTCACTTTCCCATCTCCTTTTCTCTCATTCTCACCCTTCCAGATCTGTTTCTCTGTCCCTTGCGTGTATGTGTGTTTATCTTGCAGCCGTTTCTGGTGGTAGGCGACTAGCTTTTAGATTGAGAACAAGAAAAGCTCAAAATCCGAAGAGGGGAGGGGGGGGGGGGAGGCGCTGTTAGGTGTAGATGGGGAGGAGGGACTGATCGGATTCGTTAGGTCGGCTCAATAGATTAATCATATTAGTAGTAAACATTGTCGGCTCAATAGATTAATCATATTTCGTTCAAAGGTGTGGATATATATAATTAATGCTTCTACATTTTTCAAATAGCTACGATGAGTCAGGCTGACTCATTAAGTGACCGTCTTAGCTTAGGAGAGGGACTACATTTATTTTTGGCCAAACCATAGAAGCATAAGTTTCCTCTGTGAGGACAAAAGCTTACCATTTTTGTCATTATAAAAAATAGATGAAGACAAAACTAACAACAAATCAGAATTAGTGAGCAACACGCAATTATCATCTCTCTCAGTGGAAAAAAATATTCTCGAGTTATACATTGTATAATTTTGAAGGGAGTTTTGGAACAACGGTCAAGTTGTTTCTATGTAACTTACAGCTCATGTGTTCGAGTCATGGAATCAGCCACTAATACTTGCATCGGGTTAGTATTCCCTTGGGGGTGTGGTTCTTTCCCGAATCTTCCGTGAACGCGATATGTTTTATGCACTGGGCTGTCCTTTTTAAATAATGTATACTTTTTGATAGGAAATTTCTGCGAAATATATTATTCTTGGTTAATAGTAGTCATTTAGTAAAATGTATCTTACGATTCTCATCGGTCTCTTTCTTTTTCTTTTTTCTTTACCCGAACCTTCGCCACGAAAAGGGACAACAAGAATAAATCTACCACCAAAAGGACAACAAGAATAAAATTATAAACTTAAGTAAATTTTCCACGTACTTGCATCTTGATATATTAAAGTTTTGTAAGTTATTTAAAGTAGGTAATATATATGAGAGAATTTTTCATAAAGCACCATCTTTTAGCCCTAATTAGCCATTTATAGATACCCTTTGCTATATTACTTGTTATAGATACCTTTTATGTTTTTATACAATGTATTTCATGTATTTAAGCAGTTGTATTCATTAATACAACCAAAAAAATAGGCGTAAAAACGGGAACTCCAGCTAAGGGGTATCTGTATTTATCTGTATTCAAGCTGAATACAGATAAAATACAGTAACGTTTTTGCGCAAATTCTGGAAAGTTAAACTTGTTAACAACGGAAGGAAATAAATTCACATGATAGTCTCCTAATTTAACTCAAAGAAATAATACGAGTACACATTAATCTGCTCAAAGAAAGCAGAATAATCTTCTCCCTTTTTTCGTGAAAAGAAGCAAAAAACAAAGCATTCAAATTCTTCAATTCTCTTCTCCTTTTTTTCGATTGATACAAATTATATACAAAATAAGGTATAGTTGCTCTATACATATGGCAAGCAAATCAGTTTTGTTGCGTCATTCTGGCAAGTGGAATGATGAGGGCAATTATATCGATTTTGCAATTGAGGGAATACTGATTTGAAAGAGGTGATGGAGAATTATGCTATAGCTCAAAGGTTTCAATTCCGGGTTGATCGGTCTAATGCTGTCAGGTTTGCATGTATTTAAATTTTTGTTTGCTTTGTATTTTCCATTATTGATTCGCGCTGTTTGTTTAACGTTGTTGTATTTATGCGTATTTGTGTATTTCGTCCTGATGATCACAGATGAAAACATATGTTTGTTTAGGGTCCTTAAATACATGTATTCAAATGTATTTTACTGGTGTAAAAACACAACAGTGGCTCTAATTATTTTTTTATTTTGTCTACTGTGGTATTAAGTGTTTGCATATACATACAAGTGTATTCAGTTGTATTCATTGTGTTTAAACGCATATAACTATAATGGAATTCAGTATATATATGTCAGATTGTATTTGTCTGTGTATGAGCTGTATTTTTTGTAAACAATAATACAACTGAATATATTTTTCTGAATTAGTGGCATGAATACTGTCATTGCTGTATATATTTTTAGTTATTTTCTGAATTAGTGGCATGAATACAACTGAATACAATCATTTTTAAGTAGAACTACCATTAATATATATGAATACAACTATATTCAAGCACATAAAAAACATATTTTTCCATAGATCTGATATGAATACAATTGAATATAACTAAAAACATCCTGAAAAAATAATTGGAATACATCAGAATACAACTAGCTATATGATATGTAATTTTTATATGTATTGTGAATACGTATGATTCTAATGCTTTTGTTAGCATACTGTTGCCTAAAGTACAGCAGATTTTTGATAAGTTCTGCACTTCTGCAGTTGATATTTTGCTGGTCTAAATATATGATGTATTCTTATATATGCAAATGTTTCAGTTGTATGTAACTTATTAATTCAGCATTGTACATTTGGTAATTCAGGTAAATGTGTTCAAAATTTATATTTCTATTTTTAAATGTAGGTTATACCATCAAGTGAATACTTACATACGGTTAACGATGGTGGGAGGAATTACACAGTCTGCCTGTTAGAGAGAAAATGTGTTTGTGGGAGGTTCCAAATTGATGAATTGCCATGCCCACATGCTTGGGCTGTATTGAAGAGCAAGTTTCTAATGCCAGAAGAATATTGCTCTAACTATTACAAACCAAGTACAATTGTAATGACATACGATGTGCCAGTGCATCCGCTACCGGATAAAAATGACTGGAATATACCAGAACATGTTGCAGAGGAGGTTGTACTACCACCCAAATGGAAAAGACCTCCTGGAAGGCCAAAGAAGAAGCGCCTGCATCCGAAAAATCAACATTCATGTAGCATATGTGGGCAGGGAGGACATAACAAGCGAACGTGTAGAAATGCTCCGTGTAATAAATAGTTAACACTCTGACATGTATTGGTGCTTCAACAATTTGTCAATACTTTTGATGACATTATCAGCTATAATAAATTCTCTTTGTCAAGTAATATATTTTGAAATGACTTTCTTGAATATTTTCCAAATACATGTAGTTTTAGTATTTTTATACAGATAAATATATATGAAGTATATATTTGTGTGTAACTGAGTATAGCTGAATACTAAAAAATACAACTGTATTTTTATGAATAATACAGTTCAGTAGCACTTTTAGTAAATGAATACACCAAAAAACAGCTGAATACATCTGAATAATACATTTAAATACAACTAACTACTGCTGAATAATACACTTAAATACAACTGAGTACATCTGAATACAACTGACTACATACAACCTGCTTAATACATCTGAAATTGTGTTCTTTAATATGTATTATCTGAACTTGAAAGATATATCTGAATGAATGCAGCTGGATACAATTGAATTTGACAGTTAAATACAATTGAATACAACTGAAAGCAAAAAAAATACAGCTGAATTCTTTTGTATAACCTACCATCACCATACATAAATTTTCTGACTTTGACATTAACATGTTCATTAACTAAAACCTGTTCAAGCAAAGTTACTTAGTATTAATACATACTTGACTCCTGTAAGATAAATATGTATTCAAACTGAAGAATAAGCATGAATACTTATGAACGAACCAAGTGAAACGGTCATTGAAAAGTTGCAATTGTCATACACGAACACTGTTGCTATAAGTGATAAGTTTTTCAAACTAAATAGCATCTACACCCAAAATTACTCAAAACAGTATTCTTCTTAAAACTACACTCCAAAACTACAATAACCTAAAGCTATTATAACACTATCTGCATCTTTGCCTCCGACTCAGTGATTTGCCTAGCAATCTTTGAAGGTGCTTCATTCTCGCTTATGGCATCAACGTATATCTTGCGCATAGCATAGTCCCATAGGAGAGTATCATATCTTTGACGGAGTAGAGTGAAATCAAATGCTGTTTTTGGAATCTCTCCAAGAGTGCTCAGAAACTCTGCGTATGCTGCAACATGCATTCCACAATCCCTAAAAAATAATTGATTGAAACAATTAAAAATAATTCATACAATTAGATTTGTATATAACATACAAGAATGATGATTGAATACTTACAAAAGAATTCAGGGGATTAAAACAGTTGAATTTAATTGAAATTACCTGAATACAGATGTATACATATGTTGAATAATACTGAATATAGCAATTGAATACAACTGACTCTAGGTGGTTAATACAGTTCAATTCAACTGACCATAGCTGAATACAACTGAATACACCAAAATACAACTGAATACAGCTGAGTAAAACAACAGCATACAACTGAATGAAAACAGCATGTTGTATACTGTTGTATGCATATGAATACAATTGTATGCAATAGATATATTCAACTGTATGCAGTTTCTATATGCATTTGTATACAAGTGTATGCAGCTGATTATTAGTCCCTATGCATTTGTATACATGTATCTTGAATCTATATGCAAGTAAAAAACTATCAATACAACTACATGTTAATACAGTTGAATACATTGCATATTTTATAGTAAATCAGTTTGAATACATATCAATACAACTGGAGAGCCATGAAGAATCTGAAGAGTTGATGTTGGACTTCACAACGCTTCATTTAAAGAAAATTTCCAAAGCAAGTATTACCAAGTTGTTGGTACTGAACAGGAGTAAGGTTCTCTTTTACATCGGAGACTATATCAGTGTTAGTATACACACTGATATGGGGTGCAAATTTTGGCTGCTGTTTCACAAAAAACTTAATTCCCTGCATTTGACATGAATAAAAACATATAAATACAACTAAATACACTAACAAGGCCAATTACATATAAAACAGCTGGATACAACACAAATGACATTAATTTATCATACATGAATACATATGAATACAACTAAATACAGAATGGAAATTTAAACTGTTGAAAACAACAAATAAATACAATGAAATTGAAAGGAAAAACAGTGATGGGAACCTTGAAAGAAACTTAAAAAGACAACTATAAAAATACATCAGAATACATATAAATACGTATAAATACAACTGAATACATGAATAATACAGATGAATTTCATCAGAAAATTACCTTTTCTTCAACTTTATCTGAGGTTTTAAATGCTTCAACCTCCTTCCCCTTGACAGATGAAGCTTCAGAGATATGGTTTTTCCTCTTTTCCCGAATGGGAAGTGTTGTCTCCTTCATTGATTTCTCGACTTTATCATGTCGAGCTTTTGTTCTCTTCTCCAAAGCAATATCTTTGGCTAAACCTGCGTCCAATTCACCTGGAGTGATTTGCAAGGAGAAAGAGGGCCCATCGAAATTGAGAAGTTTAGTGGGTATACCTCTAGTAATCAACTTGCGGGGTGTATTCTCATACATTGTAAGAATACGACTTGAGTACTGTTGATTAGATACAATTTGGTTAGTCGAGAGGTTGAGAACAAGCAAAAATGGCGAAAAATCAAAAAAAAAAATATGCTAACCACACTACTTATAGAAACAAGCCAGTACAATGTAGATGAAGCGTTAGGGTTTACCCGAGATTGGGGAAGGAGGAAGCTGCGTTGTGAATGAGAGCAATCTAATTTTAACCGCGATTACAGGGGATTTGGAAGTATCAATTTAGAGAGAAGGGGGAAGATTTGTATTTAGAAGTTGTACGTAAAAAGGTATCTATGAGAGAGAGAATCTGAGAATGGAGAGAGGGAAATTAAACATAGCGTGTATAATGGCTTAAGTGTAGGAGATACCCAAAATTAGAATTTTTGCTATAAATCATATAACATATCTATAGGATGTAATTTATTGAAATGTTATTTATTTTAAATGAATAGGGGGTTAACCTATTCTATAGGAAGTAAAAATTCCTATATACAATTAAAGTTAAAATAGCTTAAAGAATATAACTTTCGCCCATAAATAATAGAATCATTTTCTCCGTCTTGGTAAATTTTTTTTTTCCAAAACATTAGACCATAACCTTCTCATGATAAACATTTTCTTGAAAATAATTCATCTAATGCATGCAAAATTACATTTTACTCCTTCCACTTCACCAACCTATCTTTGGTATCTGTGAGCATTTTCACATGGGATGGTTACATAAATAGCTGATCAAATTTATTATTTTTTTTCTAACCGGTATACATAAATTATATATTAATTATGTATAATTATACATATATTATACGTGAATATTTATATTTATATATATATAATTAGGTTATTTTTAATTTAAAAATTAGGTTATATATATATATACACATTCGTCAATTATTTTTAATTTAAAAAATTAGGTGGACGATTATTTAGGTTATTTCTTTCTTTTCATATCGTGGAACCTGGGGATGTACATAGACCGGGTTGGTTCGGGTTTTATCAAAACCAAATTAAACCGATTATATCAGTTTGGATTGGTTCGGTTTTGTCGGATTTTTTGGGGTTTTTTTTACGTGAATATTATTTTAATCTTGCTTTATTAAAGTTAAAGATAAATTGTTGATAATTGAATATATGTTTATTAAAAAGTTTAAAAAAAATTAACAAACATATGATCTATTAAAGTGTTCTTATGGGAGAATTTTTTTTAGTAACACATAATAGTTTATTTTCGTAGTTGTCTCCCAAAAATATTTGGTTGATGTACGCTTTCAAGGTTAACCGAATGTAATAATTAAACATAAAAATCAATATATAATAACTAAATAGTGATATGTTCTATGTAATTTTAGATTATCGAAATACCACTTCAAATTCGAAAAAGATATAAGAAATCTTGACATATGAATATGAAGAAGTTGACCCATTTTAATAACACAAAATAAAAAAGTGATACAATCTATTATTTAAAGTAAATAAAAATGAATGCGCTTTATAGTTTAAAAAAAAAAATATTATATCCCATGAGAGGAACTCAAATATTTCTAGACATCTTTTACAAAAAATTCTATATTTATATGTCGGCGTGGTTCGGATTTTTTTTTTTACTCAATACCAAACATAATCGGATTTTTTAATCAATTTAGTTTAACTTTTCAATTTGGGAATATTTTCCGATTCTATTTATACGCCCACTGGAATCAATGAGTTGAGATTTTGGGGGATCTCTTGGTTGTAATATTGCTTACAGTCTGTGTTTTGCATCACTGACGCTGGACCACCACCTAATTTATTCTTTTAGCCACTTCCTATATTATTGTGTATGGGCAATGGTATAGATTCCACGTGCAAATTTTCAACTATTCTCCATTTCTCCTTTTAAAAAGGTCACCCCTTTTCTACATTCTCTCATTATATATTAGTGTTTCACTAATTTTTTACAATAGTGGTACTTAATTTAATTTATGGCGAGTAAATTTTATTGGTGATCACCCAATTTTGTGTTTATTATCTCAAAGTCACTATTTTTTTTTTACATAAAAAATATTTTACTTTGCTCAACTTTTCACAAAAAATAACTTTAATCATTTTTTGTAAAAAAACTCAGAAAATTACAAAAATTGATCCTTATATTTGGGGTAAATTCAAATTGGGCCCTTAAATATACTCATTAGCTATTTTGATCCCATAAGGTTGTCAAAATACTACCCTCCCCAGACCCCACTAGTGAAATTTTACTGAGTTGTTGTTGTTGTTGTAAGGTTGTCAAAAGTGAGCGTGTTTTATTTTTGTCGAATATCTAATAAACTCTGCTTATTAAATATAATGAAAACTAAAATTTGGTTAAATTAGGGTTACCAATATAGTCCCGTCAAATCCAGTGATGGGTGAAAAAATTTAAAATCATAGATGGTCATATAACTTAAACATAAAGTTACTATAAAAGAATATATTATAAGTGTGAAACTAGTTAAAAAGCAAGAAAGGAAGCAAGGACACACTTTAGCTTTGTATCCTTATATTGCAATATATATAAATAAATCACACCTCTACCG